ACTGTATCTAACTCGAACTAGAATAGGTAACAATGTGCTTTGGTATAATGCATAGTAATGGCACATGTCCTTGGCTAAGAATATATATAATTATACACATGAATATCGAGCAAAAGACAAATATACTGACAGTAATAAAGTATATTCTCTTCTCAAAACTTACTTAAAATGTTGTCTAAATCAAACAACATAATCATCAATCTCACACACACGATAATACTTTCCTATCACTTCTACAAGTGATTACTATGTTCATCAATGACATTATCTCTCCCCACATGGCATCTCTTCCCACATGGCATTTCTTATATCTCCTCTCATAGTCCACATGTCATATAATCCAACAAGTCATTGGCAAAGATCATTAATATCTCTTTTTACACAGTAATACAAGATATGTGAATAGTAAAGCTAATAGTTTAGAAATACACATATTATGAACAACAAGAATATAACACAATTGAATAATATAAGATTCTTTCTTACCTATTAAAGGAAGACAAAATAAGAAGGGTGTTGACTAGGATGCATGGCAAAACAAAGTGAGAAGCCACTCCTGGTATCCCAGCTGGTGTGTTTAGGTTAGTTGTGGGTGAGGCCACTCTCGCAGGAGGGGGTACCTAATTAACTAAGAGGAGGGACTATATGGGGGCTAGAAATATACTTGTGTCATACATACATAGTCAAAGATATACAAAAAAATAGGGGGGGGGGGGTATTCTGTGGGGCTCCACACCTTCCCCTCCAAAAATAAATGTCTCCTGGACATTTCAACTTTCAAACATTTACATCAATTCATCATTATAGTATAACATTTCTAACGTTCATATAGTTCTTGTTCAATGTCGTCATGAACTTAGGACAGATCAGGGAGGTGAGACTTATCACCAAAGTCCATGAAAGTCTATGTCCTTGCAACGCTGACAGATCATCGTGCTCCAATTCTTCTGCGAAATACATGTAGTACATCGAGTTCATATATACACTTGTTGCAACTTGTTATAGCGAAACCTAATAGGTACTTGAAGTCTCAGAATTACATATCATAATATCGTATCAGAATTACGTGGCTTTTTCTTCCATACAAATAAACTTTGCGAAACATTAACCCATTCTACGGGCGCGCCTGACAAACGGTGAAGGTTTCTTGGGAAGCTCGCGACTCATCCCGAAGACTTTATCACAAAGATCAATTGATCACTATCGAGTGTCATCGCTTGTTTCCTTATATTACACCACAATTCATGAAACGATTTACAACTTGTTTCATCTTACTCCTTCGCGTTACTTGTATTTCTGGTTTACTAAACAACACACATGATTCTATACATCGATGCATCTACTGTAAAAAAAAAAAAAAAAAGACTCTGTTTGAGGCATTCCTCAATGATTGACTCGCTCGCTAGGAAAATTTCAGCTGGTCTTTTGTCATCTGCTGTTGGTAGTGGGTTGGTTGCTGGTGGGCTACTGCGTCTGCATCTGTAATGGCCTTTGATGGGGAGGTAGAATGGTGGGTCATACCGGTACTGGAACGGTGCAGGCCGTGGCTGGGCTGTTGAGGGTGGCGGCTTGGAGAACCCCTGGACATCCTTGACTCCACTCACTTCTCCGCCATCTATTTCCTCCCAGTAAGGGTGAAGCTTTCCTTGGCCACCTGGCGGGGCCAGACTTCGCACCAGGGCCCTATCCCCTTGCTGTAGCACCCTGCTGCATACTGCACGCTCGTAGTAGCCTTTTCTCCTCTCTGCAGCTTGTCCCATTCTCTCTGATGCTGAGCCAACCTCATTTCCAATCAGGGATGGTCTTCTCCGGCTCTCTGACTTCTGGTCCTTTTTATCCTAATCGTTACATCACTGCTTCTTCGATTATCCAACTGTTCGTGTCATAGGACGACACATCATCCTCGTGTCTCTTCGACGATGGCCGTCCTGGCAAGGTCGCCAAATTTGTAGCGCCCACACCCCGAGGGAGGGGGCATACCTATTAAAGGAAGACAAAATAAGAAGGGTGTTGACTAGGATGCATGGCAAAACAAAGTCTTTATTACTTAATCTTCTACAATAACAGTCTTTTCTTACAATAACATATATAAGATCAAATGGCATAACAATACTCTTCAAGTATTAAACACAAATAAATCTACCTGTTCGCATACATTGAATTCATTAGCTCTCCGTGTTCTCTTACTATATCACTAAGAACATCATCTGGTTAGTTTCATTACTTTACTATCTCTAAACGAAACTATCCTTACTTCCATGCTTTATGTAAAAGTGCAACTCTTCATCGATCTCATAATCATAACTTGGCTACTAATAAATAACTTAACCCTTATCAAATGTCTATAACATTGCGGTATCAGTCAATCTACTTTAGCTTCTAATCATATAACTCTTCACTTAGCGTCTCTTTCAAGAAATCACATATATAGACCTAATACAAGAATGTTGGCATAATCATCCCTCTACTATTGCCTAATACTTCCTACTCTTTACGCTCCAAGACTGAGGATCCACTGTACACATAGACCCTTAGAATGCAATTCTACTCTCAGTCTTCTCTAATCCCTAAATTCACAAGTCACTTTCTTGTCTTAGGTATTCACATTAATACTGAATAAACTTATAACTCTTCCTTAACTATAGCTCATGTATTTTCCAATAGGCATCTGCATCACTTTGATCTAATACTGCCTTTTTCAGCGAGACTACTGAGCTTGAAAAGATACATCTTCAACAACTTATATCCTAAACTCCTTACAATATTCACAGAACTGGCAAATAGTCTTAGTCTGCAGTCTGCACTAATTATATAGCTCTAGCAAACTTACAACCCATTACGATTTCCTCTAACTGTAATCTCATCTACACATACATAGTTCATATTCTAATCTATATCAACAACCAATAGTTTTACTAAATACATGTATATTCATTTCATGGTTATATACAAAGTAAAGTGGGAGTGAAAGGGGAGGGGTAAACAATACAGAGAGAGAGAGAGAGAGAGAGAGAAGGGAAATAGAGAGAGAGAGAGGGGGATACAGAGAGAGAGAGAGAGAGAGGGGGAAAAAGGGGGGGGGGGTACAAAGAGAGAGAGGAGAGAGAGAGAGAGAGAGAGAGTGACTAATTCCCAATAACATTTAACCTGAATTATCATTCCTAACAATATAATACAGTGAGTTTAACACTGTGATTATACAAGTCTTCAACTTCAATATTCCATCAACCAATTCAACTCTAGCTAACTACTAGACAGTGTGACCATGTGTTTCTCAACAAATGTATTCCCCAACAGAAATCCTTTGTCTTCTCATTTAGCAATCTTGCTGACTCTACCAAACTTTCATTCCCGCCTAAGATACCATTTTCCAGCATGGGTCAAAAAGCAAACAAAGCTTGGGGGAGGGGATTAAGAACTTTGATAAGAAGTTGTGTTTACACTGCTTGCACTGCCATTTCCCGATAACACACTAGTATTGTACACATGGTGCGTCCACACTCACTCATACCATAATACTGAAAGTTAAAGATAATCTGGACTTGAACCACTCATTTCGCTATCAAAACTGTATCTAACTCGAACTAGAATAGGTAACAATGTGCTTTGGTATAATGCATAGTAATGGCACATGTCCTTGGCTAAGAATATATATAATTATACACATGAATATCGAGCAAAAGACAAATATACTGACAGTAATAAAGTATATTCTCTTCTCAAAACTTACTTAAAATGTTGTCTAAATCAAACAACATAATCATCAATCTCACACACACGATAATACTTTCCTATCACTTCTACAAGTGATTACTATGTTCATCAATGACATTATCTCTCCCCACATGGCATCTCTTCCCACATGGCATTTCTTATATCTCCTCTCATAGTCCACATGTCATATAATCCAACAAGTCATTGGCAAAGATCATTAATATCTCTTTTTACACAGTAATACAAGATATGTGAATAGTAAAGCTAATAGTTTAGAAATACACATATTATGAACAACAAGAATATAACACAATTGAATAATATAAGATTCTTTCTTACCTATTAAAGGAAGACAAAATAAGAAGGGTGTTGACTAGGATGCATGGCAAAACAAAGTGAGAAGCCACTCCTGGTATCCCAGCTGGTGTGTTTAGGTTAGTTGTGGGTGAGGCCACTCTCGCAGGAGGGGGTACCTAATTAACTAAGAGGAGGGACTATATGGGGGCTAGAAATATACTTGTGTCATACATACATAGTCAAAGATATACAAAAAAATAGGGGGGGGGGTATTCTGTGGGGCTCCACAGTAGTTTTCGGAGGTAATTCTTAGAGGTGGTCATCTCATAATCAGCCCAACCATGACCCCCTCCTCTTCTGTCCGGAGAGCCCCTTGGTCCCTTGTGTCCATCTCTCGGACCCTATGAACCAGACTGAATTTCCTGAAGCAGAATTGTGATGGGGGTCATTTACTTTCTCCTCTGCTATGGCTACCCCCGTGTCAAAACAGTTATTTGGGTTATAGATCATTAGCAATGTAGGTTAAACTTGAACGCTAGTCATGACTCATTTAGAAAACCTTTGTGGGTTAATTGACCATGTTGAGACATCAATCATGTCAACGATAATAATTGTTTGTTATTGACAAAGTGATCTCTAATCAATCTACATTAAGTATGAGATCGTCAATTCCTCACAAGTGCATCGGTATTTTTACGTCAATACAAAATTGTAAGACAGTCGAAGTGTTTTATTTAATTTTTAAATAATATCTCTTTCCCCTTGTCAATGTGTACTGTAAAGGTACAATTAAGTCCATTCATAGTTCTTTTTTGTTGTCTTCTTGTTAAAACATCTCGTCATCATGGTCATGTTTTGCGCATAAAGGCGCTACATCACTATATCATATTGACTCCTATTAAACTGAAATACTGTTTTCTTCCTTTTATCGGTGCCAATATAATGATAACATTTTTTCTTCGTCTTTGTCTTTGACATTCTTCTTGCAGATGTCCTCCGTTGCATCATCCAGTGTCGCTTTGCGGACATCGACCAACCTGCTAAATTTCTTCGCAGGATCATCTCCAACAAACAGATGACACACATCGTCAGCGGCAACAACCACTCCACCAAGAAGGAGCCTCTCAAATAATGGTCCGGACATCGCTTGAATGATGACATCGTTAATCTGACTGCTAAGAGAGCAGTATATGCTTGTAGGTAAGCAAAGAGATGGACCTTCAGGTTTCGGTCCTCTTCGGGGGCTTGGTAATGACTTGATACTGAGGATTACTGCGTAACCATAATGACCAAAGCCCACTAGCGCATCAACTTGGGTTCGAACCCGTGACCTCCCAGTTACAATGCCACTGCTCGACCTCTAAGCCATCAACGTGATTAAGAGAGGATAATATAACGCAATCAGACGTACCTATACTTTTAAAATCTATTCGAGAGAGTGGGTAATGAGGATCAATGCCTTACCAAAGGACATTAGCGCATCACTGTGGTTTCGAACCTGGGACTTCTGTGTCACTAGACCCCTACTCTACCACTGAGTCCAGGATGCGGCGAGTTCGGTAGAGTTCTTGGGCGCTGTTGCTCTCCATCTTCAAGGATCTTCTCTGCGGTTTGGCAAGGGTCGAAACGTTTCGCAAGGTGATCTTCAAATTACAAAATGCAAAGAGGATTCCTTGATCAAATTAGCTGTAATAGCCGCGATGACGGAGTTGCGGTCGCTAGTTGAATTAAAGACTTCTTGAAGACGAATAGAAGAAGACAGCGTATCGTGAAGCACCAGATAGCTAGGCTAGATGGAATCTGCCTAATCACTGCAGACTAGGCCTGTAAAATGATAACATTTGAAGAAGCATAACTGAATGACAAGGGCCAGGTGCATTTCTGGCCTAGATATGACGTGAAAAGACCCTGAGATCTCAATTCGCAACGAAGATGAAGCAAAATCAGGGAGAGGTGTTGGACAAAAATATGTAAGCATGACGGATTAACATAACTTTGATATGAATCTTCCACGCGTCAGTCAACATCGGGATTCCCTTTTAAAACTAAACTTTGATCATTGAAAAAAGGCATGGATTGAATACTAATAGGCCCAAATTGATGAGTACGAATGCGAAGTTAATTCCTGCCGTAGACCAGGCCCGTCTGACCGTAATGCGAGAAAGATTGTCAGGGACGGCATTCAATCTTAATTATCATCTCGAACTCTATAGTCGATGATTTGAAGAGCCTCTTGGTATCAAGAACTATTTTACGATCTCAAGAGACCATTATTACCCCGGACTAATAACGGGTAGAAATCAATCGCTGGTATATTTTGCGAAGTCTTCCAGAAGAGTCTTGAACTTTTAACCGCTGACTCTAAATTGAAATGAATCTTAAAGTGACACTTCCGATTGTAGAGTCACATTAATTTTGTCGGGATGTCATATAAGACGTAATAATTACGTAGTAATCTGGCTATGACGTAATCAGACTATTCTATGATATTCCTCTATAGCCTGCAGAATAATCATCATTAGCACATGTATATCATACACCTGTACAAAAGCACAGTTCTCTAAACTCGAAATATCAGTTCGAGAGGCGTTTTACTTGCCAGGATATCAATAGAAATAGATCGATAATTCGCATAATTTTCTGTATTTTTCATAATTTTCATAATTAAACAACCTAAAGACTCTAACTTAACAAATACTCGTTTTAAATGAAAGTCAGGTATACCATTTGTTGAATTTCTCACCTTAATGAATGATTGTGGGATTTCATCGTAATGGGTGTTAATTACACATGACATATATAGCTACGTTAATGATTTGTTTTTATATTTCACGTTATGGTCAATTACAAATAATGAATTTCTATTTAATATGCCTATTATTTAATTTGTATTAATATGTATCGGTGTATAATTAGTGACCACAAGCAGAGGCTGAAAGTGTCGTCTCATATAATAAAAATAACATAATTATCAAATGATTTTGTTTAAAACATTATAATGACACATTTTGTATTATAATATTATCGTATTACCATACTTGAAGCTCAAGAAAAGAAATCGAAATTTACGAAAGAGGAGGATAAAGAAGATGCTCATAAAATGTATACTACAATATGTAACTAGTCTTTATTTTTGTAGGCAAGAGATGGCTGTTGAACAACGACTTCGATGGGTCATGGTGTAAAATTTCAATAAAAGTGTATATACAATTTAATTTTTAAGAAAATCAATAGAAGACTTTGACATGCCTACCATTTCACTCATTATATATTGTATTTGTAAATGCACTGTAGATAATCTTTTCTATAAATAAGGTCAAATTACAATTCTCATGATATCTATACAATTGTGCCTTTGACATGTCTGATTGACATTTTGAACTCAGTTTTCCGATCAGGTGTGTACAATCATCAGAAGGGGAGGCCTTTAGTGGTACTTATCCTTACCGATAATGATTGTTACTTGTCTTCGAAATTATGTGCAGGTAGATTATAATGCATTTTTAATGTACACCTGTACGTGTAATGAATGTGATTTATTTTTTATGCGGGATATTTTATACGTGTATAATAATTATGTGCATAATTATACGGGCTTATTGTTTGAATGTAGACGTGTATTGAGTTACGCAATAACAAAGGGCATTAACCTTATGTTGCTTCAGAATACATAACTTTCTTTTCGAAAATGTATAACAATTATTACAACCCATTAACATGATTTTTCTAAACGGCGATATTGGTTAGTATATCAAACCTTTCAATGTTTAATCCTAGATCATGCTTTAAATTTATGAAGTAAGACTTAAAGATTGTTCTATTTTTCTGTCCTAGAATACATTTCTTCCTTGCTTCTGTGTTTTTTAAAATGTAATGTTGTGTACAAATATTCCACATCAATTGTATAATAATTATTTATGCACATAATTATCTTACAGCATTACAGGAATAGGCTAGTGAGGGAAATTGTGAAAGAGAGAGAGAAAGAGAGAGAGAGAGAGAGAGAGAGAGAGAAAGGAAGAGAAAGAGAGAGGGAGAGAGGACGAAAGAGAGAGAGAGAGAGAGAGACAGAGAGAGAGAGAGAGAGAAGAGACTTGGATTGAATATAATTACATACAATGCATAGTGTGTAACCTCGTTTAATCATACGTAGGTATGATTAAACTTTTATACTTTTTCATGAATGTGTATACATTTTCCGAAAGAAGTATTGTGTCCCACATCGTACACTTTTTGTAAACAACACATCTGAAATTAAAATGTGAACTGGACACCCAAACACAATTGTCATTGATAGTCTTCAGTCTCCATTGTGGGCCTATGTATTTGTTTAATTGATACATAAATTCGCAAGTTAATTAATTTAAATTAGATTCAAGTAACTGCGCATTGTTCAAGTTTGCGGAAACTTATATTTTGTATCTAGTTCGGATATAGACCATAATATGGCACCGTGCATCTGGTACTTCGTCATCATTATAATTATACAAGATTATCACAGTTTAGACGCAGCTTATTCTCGACCTGTTAAAGATGAACTTGTCAATGACCTCAAGCTTTCTAGGTCAGGCGTTACTTAAAACAAAACTCACTGATAACGAATCTGTTGGCCTTTAAAATTGATATGGCGCCTTCGTCGACAAAAAGATACAGAGGACGATCCTCGTCAGCGCCAGCTTCTATATCTTCTTTATAATAAAAAGTTACATGCTTGTCATGACGTTGTACATGCTGCTAATCTGTCCATGTCTGTGTACGCGGATATTTTTTAAAATCTTGAAGATAAAGCTGATGCCTTAATGAGATATTGTTTTGAAACAAGTTATACAAGCTATTGAGAGGTTTAGGATATTGTCTTACTTTTGCCGAGCTTCGCGTTTACTTATTTCACTGATCCAAATGAAATTTTGCGTTGGAATACAAGAGATAATGAGGAGCAGAGGAGGGAAGGAAAGAGTATATAGAGAGGGGGTAGACAAAAAAGACAGAGAAAGATAGACGGAAAGAGAAAGAGAGAAGATTGAAAGCATAATTATTTCAGAAAGAAAGAGAGAGAGAGAGAGAGAGAGAGAGAGAGAGAGAGAGAGAGGGAGGGAGGAGGAGGGGAAGGATTTTCCGGTAGGTCTATAATTGGATGTCAGATAGAAACATTTAAACACAAAAGCATTTTCGACCTGTATGATCATTGTATTTTATGGTGTCATGAAATGTGTTGGTGGAGTAAACTTCCTCGTTATATACGTGGGTTGTTGACATTGTGTATAGGCTAGGCAAGTACATTAACATGAATATTGTGATATGATGAAGAGAATAACATTTTATACAGATAATAAACGAATTTTCGACACCTGTTATAGGCCTATATCTGTTGGAGATGATTTCGTACTTAAAATGGGCATCGGATGACGCAATGGCTAAGAACACAACAACCAACTAATCAATCACCAGCACAACTCATTACTCAAACATTACCAAAGCCTTGGCACATTCAAGGCTTTACCAATTCCCAAGAATTCCTTTCCAAATCCACCGAAAATCACCCTCAAATTGAATTTGGTGTTGACGACAACTATATTACGTCTTCTACATAATGTGATCATCTAGGTCATCGAGAAAAAAAATGGATATGAAAATCCGTCGGGACATTGGCTGACCCATGATGTCATCGAATCTTCCTCTGTAGTCCCATGTACGCTCAACGGTGTGTGTAATTGACATCCATTGTTCTTAATTACTCGCAGCAGTAAATCACGACTAAATGGACACACTTCAGATTGGAATAATTATGACACGATGATGTATTGAAGGTCAGTGTGTTCATAGGTGATTTGCTCAGCCTTACTCATCCCCCTTCTTCCGAAACAAAATATTTTCGTCTCAAGTAAGTGTTTAATAATTTAATTTATCTTGTTTGTAACGGAAAATATTACCACACGACGGAGAATAACCATTGACAACAGACGTACTTGAGATTGATGCGGAGGAGGAGAAGGGGGGGGGGGGCTCTTAGGGCTGAAGCCCACATGACGATTTGAAACTCCTATACGCTTCAATTAAAAAAGAAAAGTGGTTTCGTTTTTCTTCGTTTTCCGAAATTCCGAGTACATCCTTGGTCACGAAGGCGTCGCGGGCTATCTAGTATTGGTGAGAAATGAAACAATAATTCAGGATTAAAATGAATACAGGAGCAATCGTTTAAAGACTAAAGACATGATCAACACTATCATGCATTTTGAGCAAAATGTTAGGAATATAGTAACATCTTTAAATGATAGTTTATGCTTTCCAGCAATTTGGTATGTAAACCGGAAGGTTGATTTTTGGGGGAAGAGGCGAAAGCACCCTCCCCAGGCCATATTGTGCCCATATGCAAATGGTTTTTCAACGAGAATTTGCCAAATCGTGTCGCAGCATCTTATTATTATGTTTGACGTGTAAAACACCAAGTTCTGAAACTAAATTTTTGACAGTAGAGGAAATATGATAAGAAAGTTTGATCAAGGTTGGCATTTTGCGGATAAGAATGTTCATACGGCTGCATCCTAATCTGAGACTCATTCAGTTAAATAATATAAAAGTATCTTTGCTACCGTTTTCTTGAATAGTATCGCTCATGGCTACGAACTGTTGTTCGTAGTCGTGAGCGATACTACGACTGGGGTAAATGGAAATAATATAAGTTTTCTATAGGAAACAAGAATAAAACTATACGTCATCATCTGGAGGAAACTGATATTTTGGAAGTTGTATGGCTTATACTGTTACTGTATGTCTACAAAAAAGGCGTCTAAATCACTTAACGAAATTTTGGAAAGTTTGGGTTTCAATTGCTCTCTCTATCTGTCTCCCCATCTTCACCTGTATCTGTCATGCTCTGTTTTTACCTCTTCACTTAGTATCACATTTTAATTCTCTACTTCTATTTTCTGCGTTTCCTTCTTACTCAAATTCTTCATCTGGTAGTACTTATATAGTTACTAGTAT